GGGGGGGGGGGGCTGAAGATGGTGATTAGAGCTCTATTCTCCCATACGGGGATGGGAACCAAGGTTTGGGTGCTTGGCTGGGAGACGAGTAATTTTATTCAGGGTATATGAGCACGGGTTATTTCGTTCAGAGTTGATACGTTATTTTATTTAAGGTAGGTTAATCGGTTATTGTCCCAGTGTGTATTTTGGGTGCGGGGGAAACGTGTTTTTTGTTTAGAGAAGGGATTGCTTGGTTTGGTTGTGGAGGATTTCGGAGAGTCGAGGATATTTAGATGGGATGCAGGTGATTTGGCCCATTTAGGTCTTCGTGTGATATCATTCGTTTGTCCTATTAAATAATATCTCGTACAAGTCTTTGAAAATGTGAATAGTTTTCACATACTTTTGAATGATTTCGTGACAAATCTAAAGTACATGAACTAGATTATCTCGTTAATACCTCCATTTTTTTTCTTAAAATTGTTTCTCTCAAATAGAGCAGAGTTCACTTAATAATATGGAATAGGTCAGTTTTCATTATCACCTATGAAATATCAAAAATTGCAAACGTTCAACATTTTTTTTAATGGGCCGAGGGGGCAAGCTGGCTGGTGAAGTGGATAAGGCCGCTGATCCCGCGAAACGTGCTCGGATACGAATCCCAGCCCAGGCAGATACTTTTATAGGTTAATAAGATTTGCGGGTTCAGCTAGAGTTAAAATATTACGAAACCGCTGAAAATATTGCAAGAAAGTGTACGCTGTTGTAGCACCACTAGTTTATAAAGTGGGTCTTTTGATTTTCAGCATACGACGATTACATACAGGATTACATCAAAATGGATATTGCTTGATCGATCTGGGTGAAGTCGTGGCCCCTTGAACTTGAAAGGATCCTTTAATTTTGGGGATACTTTACATGAAGCCCTTACATCGTTTTCGAAATTTCCTCAAAAACTCTTCTGAATTTTTACTATTTAAATTATTGTAAGGACATAGTACATTAAATATCAATTCTACAAGTGCATTTTCATTGAAACACAATGCATTTTCTCTAGTCTCCCGCGCTTCTTTTTTTAGTGGAGGAGAGGGAGTTTATCGAAAGATGGCTCTAAAAGTTTTGAGTGAGTGAATATCGATTCCGCGCGTCAACTTCAGATGTCATTAGTCTGGTAAGTGCTGTTGATACGATATTAAGAGGGGTGGCTGTTTTCCTCCCCTCTGGAACATGAGAACCGGCGCCGACCTACAGGTCGACTTGCGGGGTTTTCCCACCTCCAAGTAGTATCCCTCCCAACGGGGCTCCGTCCCAGCCAGGACAAGCTCTAAGCTCCGTCTGGGCTGCCAACGCGTGTAGTAGTGTAGTGTACGTAAGTGTGTGTAAGGGAAGAGAAGGGGACAGGGGTAAGAAAAGAAAGATCGCGCGCGCTCCTTCGACTATTTGTTGGGATATTGCTCTGGCATTCGCGTGGTATTAATTGGAGAAACCCCGGAAAACTAGCGATGAAAGCAGGCTGGCGCTGGAATTCTCATCCGGGCGGTTTGTGAATTCAACCCAGCTATCTAGCTAGTGTTGGAAATTCGACATCCGGGACTCAATCTATAGAACCGCCCGGCAAATGAAGCAGCAAATACTAAGATGTCGCTGAACTATCGCAGACTGTCTGAGGTATTTATAGGATGTAAGTTGCAATATTATATAATATTGCAATATTATGTATATTGTAATAAGATAAAAAAGGTGCAATTGTGCCACTAGTTTAAATATTTACGGCTGATAAGTGAGGTCTTAATGTTATCTCATTGTTCATGGCGACTTCGTATGTGTAACTGTCAAAGAAATCCCGGGCATTGATTTTTTTTTTAATTTTATTTTTTTGTTATTTAAGGTCGCACAAACGTCTAGGTAAATAGCGACCACTATTGCTTGAAACGGTGTGGTAACTGTGAGGATGACACGACATGATGATAGGGGGTGAAAGGACGAACACAATACAACCATGCCCGAGGTGGCATTCAAATCCGCGATACTTCGGTCCGAGATCACTACGGCATTACTGCCTTAACGATCTTGGCTACCGGATCGGCATTAATTTCTTGTCGCCACCTTAATGGCCAGTGTACCATTTTATTCTAAAGGCGGCTCCACACAATCGGCATTCACCGAGCTGCGAGCCACTACTCGCCCAATCCCGAACAGCTGAATTGTTCGGCGAATGTTCGCTCTCTTTGATGTGTCCTAAAGACCGACACGCGGTGGATAAGGCGAATAGCGAATGTTCGTAGAATCGCAAGCAACCTGTCCACACTACTCGGGATTCGGCGAGCGTTTGCTCGGGATTCGCCGAATGCCACATGTGTGGAACCGCCTTGAGGTCGCGCCCACAAATCTTTATTGCTTGTTGTTCTCAGAAATCTTTCTGAAAGTATATGGTCAAACATTTTTTTATTCTTTTTTTCTGTACATTATGTGTACGGTACAAATACCTCTAGAATATGTTAACTCTGAAAGCCGAGACCGCTAAGCAGTAGTGCCGTGGAGATCTTGGACCGAAAGGATCGTAGGTTCGAGCCCCGCCTCGGGCATGGTTGTGTTTGTGTGTGTCTGTAAGTTTGTGATTGTCTCTTTCATTTTACCCCATCCCCAGGGCAACAACCCTGGGTGTAAAACGGATTAAGCGTGAAAATACCGATCCCTCGCATAAAGGTCACGTGCAACTACCCTCAATGAATATAACCGAGCGTGGGTTGCGTCCTGAGACGGCCAATTAGCAGAGGGAAAAAAGCAAACATTTGGGCTAACATTTCAGAACTTCAAATTAATTTTTTGAACTTATAATACTTTTCCCCTAAATGTTTTATGGTTTTTTGAAGATTAAATTTTATTCAACTATATTTATATTGTACAATAAAAATTATCATATGAAATGATGTAATAAAAATGATATAGTATAGAAATATTGCAAAAGCATGTTTCACACTTTCTCTCACAATTCAAACAGTTCTTAATGGTTTCTTGTGGTGTTCACTATACAAAAATTTATCAACAAATATTTTTATTATTTTAACACAGGAATTTTGTCTTCTTTTGTTTCAAATAATTCAAGTCATTAATTGTTCATACTAATCAAATTCAGAAATTTCAAATAATTTCACATAATAAAGTCTGTATAAAAGTACCATAACTACTAACAGACTTTTACACTGACATAATATATATGAAATAATCTCCTCTTAGAATGGTTAAATTTTTACTTTCACAAAATATAGAATTATTTTGAGAATTGGTGCTGACATTACAAAATCCTCACTAGAAAGGTGCATAATTGAGGAATGAAGCAGCTCTCTTGTGAAACAGAAGCTATTGTTCAATTCACAGTTTGGATGGAATATTGTAGCAGGACACTTCATAATTTATTATGGATCCATTTCTACCCTTAAAATAACTTTTGAAGTGAATGAGCATTTATTGAAAAAATGTACTTCTTATTGAACAAGGCTATGCAATATATGTATGTACATCAAAATCATAATTGATTTTGAAATGTTAATAAATATGTCGTTGCATGTAGCATAAAAACTGTCTGTAGAATGATGATAATGACAACTACATGGATTGGTCACATGGGGTAGAGAAACAAATAAAATTTAATTTAAACAAATCAACAACAAA